ATTTAGGCTTGGCATATTGGATATCTATTTGCTCAATGCAACCTCATCTTTTATATTTTTCAAAAAATTAGGGTAATTTATTGCTTTTTTTTGTGCCCTAAAATCAACTTACTTGTATTTTTACTGAAACTTTGCATTAATATCATGCGACATAAAAAATTGGAACTACCACTTTTATTCTCTAGGGTCTTTTATTTCAGAAAATATTTAATGTTTGGGGGTTTTATGTAATCTTCAGACATAAAATTATTTTTTGAATCTTGAACAAAAAACGCAAAAATGGCTCTGGTAGCGAAAGGGATAAAGGACAAGCCCAACACTCCCCTTTCCTGAGGAGCAGCCAATCAGTGCTGATTACACTGCAAGGTCTCTCTCCTCCCTGCTAGTCCCCGGATGTGGTGCTGGAGACAGGCAGGGGGGGGGGAAGGAAGAGATAAACACGCAGTGTTAAAAATGTTACACATTTAAGTCGCCATAAAACCCCTTTTGTTTTTAAAACAGTCCTAAAATCACCTCTGCTTTAAATACGGTTTTGGTTAAAATAATTTTTTTTTTTCATCTGGACAAGTAGATTTTTATGAGAGACAAGTAGATTGGCGCACCGATTTAGTCCCTGGACAAGTATTTTTTAAAAAATTTCCACACCCCTGATCTGGTCTCCCACAGTATACAGTACAAAACATGAAAATGCAATTATTTTAGTAAATATAAACTGTAAATACCTTTTCTCATCAGCGGTATATAGTAGGCTTGTGACTTCTATCAGTGTTAACCGAGCACTGGTTAAAGCTTGTAGGAGGAGTTTTCATTCTCCCCTGATTGACCGATGAGGCTGCATAACTCCTGACCCTCTGTCTGGACTGATTGGCGCTGTGCTGATCACATGCACCCTCCCAAGAAAAAAAAAAATCTCTCTAGCAATATGCACCAAACAGAGCATGTGCAGCTTGCCCCAAGGCTCTGTTCTATCTGCAGAGGGACACCTATATGTTACCGCTGCTCAAGGTAGAGAAACTCTCAGTCTCCAAGCACAACTCCTTCTGTAGGTGCTAGGGCAGCTCGTGCGCTGCATGGATGAGAGCAAAGGAAGTCCAATGAGCTGCATTCCAAACGATCCACTTTATTGAACCAGGATAAAACCAATACAGACAGTGAAAATACAGTGGGGCACTGGCAGGTACCCCACTGTATTTCCACTGTCTGTATTGGTTTTATCAGGGTTCAATAAAGTGGATTGTTTGGCGTGCAGCCGATCGGACTTCCTTTGTTCTCATCCATCAGCAGATGGATTGGGGACAGTAGAAGAAGAGAAGAATCAGAAAAGACAGTATCAAACAGCCTTTTTACCCAATGCAGAGGATTAACCCCTAAGGTTCCACAGTGAGTATAACAAGCATGCTTTACTGCATATACAAACTGATTTTACTGTTGTGGGTTTAGTAACACTTTAAGAAATCAGGAACCAGACTGATTAAGGGTAAATTAAGTTTATTAAGATAAATATCTTTCTTACAACACCAACACCAGTAAACCATTAACAATGTAAAGTGACAAAATAAACGTGAAAGTGCAGCAACCCAAATGATAACCTAACTAACTATATACAAATGGAGGGAGCACATATAAGCAGAGTATGCACAGGACTAAGACAGGAAGCAAGAAGAGCAGAGAGCAGGGTACAGGAACAGGTCTCAGGGTCAGGTACAGGAACTAGGATCAGGAACAAGGATCAGACTCAGGCAGAGACACGGCTTGCAGAAAGAACACTGAAGCACTGAACCTCAGTTACTGTATGTGTGGGCTTAACTAACTCCCAACAGCCCATGTCAGGTGCAGCCTAATTACCTAGAAAGCCTGGAGATACCTGCTGGTGGGCACCGGAACTGCGTCCTTTGAGTCAGAAGCGGGTGACCCAGGTAGTTACACAAGTCCTGACAGTCCTCCCCCCCCCCCCCCCGCCTTGTGGAGTGGCCTACAGTCTCTCCATTCACCCTTTAACCCAAAAGACCATGTGGGTGCAGGATAAGTTCAAAAAGGTTTCCCTTCAGTGTCTGAGGACTCTCTTGAAATCTTCAGGCCCGAGTCTTTCAACCCGCTGGATGGCATGCCAACTGAGTCTAGTAACTGGACATGCACCCCACCGCCAGGTTTGGAAGCTGCCTGGTTACCCCGCCACCAGGGTCCGAAAGCTGTCTGGATTACCTACAGGTCAGATCCCTAAAGAGGTGTAACATCTGAAACTTTCACATCACTAATGCAGCACATGGGATTGGGACTACAAAGGCCAGTTGAAGGCCTAACACACATATCCCCAGTTCATACAGTTACCCTGATGCCAAGGTATTCCAACTGGACCTTCAACATCTTGGTTGCCAGAAACTGCTCCACACTCAAACAGCCACGCATGTCTACTTAAGGCATTGGTCACTCAGCAAGGGTCCCCTAATGCACCAAGGATTGTAAAGGCACCATCTAGGTCAGGACAAGGCTCAGAACTCTGCCCTTTCCAAGAAGACCTCTATTACCAGGGCTGAACATAAGAATGCAGTTCCCACTTCCACAGTGGGTATCTGGGCTATCAGGCCTTGGTGCAACAGAAACAAATGGCTGCAAGAGGGACTCAGAAGAGGCAACAAAGGGAATCTTTGACTAAACAGGTAACCCATAAAAATCGTGCAACAAATATCAAGGTGCAGCAATAATAAACCAAACAGTTGATGAGACCGAAACCCTGGTACCGAAGACTAGCTGGGCAGCAGGTAAAAAAGCATCAGAGGCAGGATGGGCAGCAGGCGGAGGAGCATCAGTGGCATCCTGGGTGGCAGGTGGAGAAGCATCAGAGGCAGGCTGGGCAGCAGGTCGAGGAACATCAGAGGTAGGCTGGGCAGCAGGTGGAGGAACATCAGTGACAGGTTGGGCAGTAGGAAGAGGAGCATCAGAGGCCGGCTGGGTAGCAGGCAGAGGAGCATCATCAGGCTGGGCTGGGCAGCAGGCACAGCACCATCAGGCTGGGGAGCAGGCATGGCACTATCAGGCTGGGTAGCAGGAGCAGGACCATCAGACTAGGCACCAGGAGCAGATTTAAACCCAACAGCTGATAAGACCAAAACCCTTGTACCGAAGACTAGCTGGGCAGCAGACTCAAAACAATTAGAGACAGTCAGGGCAGTGACCATAAAACCATCTGAGGCAGGATGGGCAGCAGGCTGAGAAGCATCAGAGGCAGGCTGAGCAGCAGGCGGAGGAGCATCATCAGACTGGGCTGGGGAGCAAGCATGGCCCCATCAGGCTGGGCAACAGGAGCAGGACCGATCAGACTGGGCAGCAGGAGCAGGACCATCAGGTGGGGCAGCAGGCATAGAGCCATCAGGCTGGGCTGCAGGCACAGGATCAGAAAAATCAGCAGGGTCATTAGGTTCAAGACCACTAGAGGCAAGCAGGCTGTTGGTCACCGAACCACCAGAGGCATGGAACACTCTGAGGCAGGCAGGTTGTTGGATACAGGATCATGAGAAGCAGGTGGGTCATCAAGCACAGGACCCACTGGTTGGGCATCAGAGACAGGACCCTCTAGCTGGGCATCAAGAACCGGATCTTCTGACTGAACAGCAGACAATTGACCACCAAGCTGGGCAACAGGCACAGTAGCATCAGAGGCAAGCTTGGCAGAGAATAGCAGGTCACCAGAAGCAGATTTGGCAGTGGAGAGCTGGATACCAGCAGCAGACTGAACCCAGTAGGTAAGCATAGGGCAGGTTGAACCCAATCAGCAGGCAGCATAGCGGGGGACTAGACCCCATTAGTAGGCAACATGCCATCAGGCTGGACAATGGTCAGGGGATTAGTGAGGTCAGTTTGATTAGCCACAAAAGAGTCTATGGAGCCAAACTGGATGGTGGACAGAGAACCAGTAATGCCAGGCTGCATAGCAGATGACATATTGTTGTGATAAAGCTGGGTTGCCAGAACACAAGCTGGATGCAAGGAGGCTCGGAGAAAAGAATGAGAGCCCCACTTGACTGAATGAGGCAGTCTGTCCAAAGGATGGATGGAACTCTTAAGACAGGCTTGCGCAGATGTAATTGCCGTAGTAAGGTCGGGTTGCTGAGAGTCTCAAATATGAAAAGGCAGAAGGCAGGACTTAGGATACATCAGGAGTAGACTGGCCCATAATTGAGATAGTGACAGGCAGGTCTGAAGCAGAAGGCTCAATTAACATGGGCTGGACTACTGGCATGGTGGAAGGCTTGACCGGAGCAAGTGGCATCGTGGCAGGCTTGACCGGAATCAGTGGCATTGTGGCAGGCGAGACCAGAGCAACTGGTGTTGTTGCAGGCGAGACCAGAGCAAGTGGTGTTGTAGCAGGTTGGACCAGAGCAACTGGCATACTGGCAGTCTGGACCAGAGGAACTGGTGTGCTGGCAGGCTGGACCAGAGCAACTGGCATGCTGGAAGGCTGGACCAGAGCAACTGGCAGGTTGGACCGGAGTAACTGGCAGGCTGGACCAGAGCAACTGGCCTCATGGCAGGCTGGACAGGGACAGCAAGTGTGGAGGCAGGAGAAGACAGAGGAAGAATACTATGAGCTGGAAAAAAAACTTCCTTTGGTGCATGTTAGCTGAATAGGACATACACTATATTGCCAAAAGTATTGGGACTCCTGCCTTTACACAAACATGAACTTTAATAGCATCCGAGTGTTAGTCCATAGGATCAATATTGAGTTGACCCACCCTTTGCAACTGAAAAACAACCCCACACCATAATCCCCCCTCCACCAAACTTTACACTTGGCACAATGCAATCAGGCAAGTACCGTTATCCTGGCAACTGCCAAACTCAGGCAAGTCCATTGTCGATTGCCAGACAGAGAAGTGTAATTCCTCACTCCAGAGAACACGTCTTCACTGCTCTAGAGTCCAGTGGCAGCGTGCTTTACACCAATGCATCCGATGCTTTGCTTTGCACTTGATGATGTAAGGCTTGAATGCAGTTGCTCTGCCAAGGAAACCCATTCCATGAAGCTCTCTGTGCACTGTTGTTGTGCTAAACTGAAGGCCACATGACGTTTGAAGGTCTTTAGCTATTGACTCTGCAGACAGTTGGTGACTTTTGCGCACTGTTCTCTTCAGCATGCGCTAACCCTGCTCTGTCATTTTATGTAACCTACCACTTCGTGGCTGAGTTGCTGTTGTTTCCAGTTGCTTCCACTTTGTTATAATACCACTAACAGTTGACCATGGAATATTTAGTAGCAAGGAAATTTCGCAGATGGACTTATTGCACAGGTGGCAACCTATCATGATACCACGCTTGAATTCACTGAGCTCCTTAGAGCGACCCATTCTTTCACAAATGTTTGTAGAAGAAGTCTGCATGCCTAGGTGCTTTTATACACCTGTGGCCATGGAGGTGTTTGGAACACCTGAATCCAATGATTTGGAGGAGTGTCCCAATACTTTTGGCAATATAGTGTATCTGACCAGGCTTGGAGTAGAGGCAGAACAAAACTTAATTTACAATTCCCTTTTCTGACTAGAGAATGTATTGCATTCATATAATCCAGAAGAGCCTCTTGTTAATATACCCAATAATGTTCAAAAAAGTAGGGCCACACCTGAGATTCCACCTGAGACATATTAAAAGGAGGAGAATAATCATCAGCACCTTTAGTAATACAAGACAAAGCCAGCTCTGCACACACCTGAATTAGGGGCTGAACTTCACCAAACAAAACTCTGCCTTTCTCGTCAAGACAGTGAGCCAGGCAGATGCATTCCAACAACTGCTCCCTAGTCTGCTCCTTCAAAATTTTGTGGCAATATTCCCTGTGCTCTGCTATAAGCCATGCATAATGCAAATCTGACTGCATCTTGCAGCCATCAACAAATGCTGAAACCAGAAAATTCCTAATTCCAAGGTGCAGCTGATCTGATCGTTAGTGGTTTCAGTGTTATGCCAGGGATTCCAAAAGCAGGTATTTAGCAAGGATGACCAAATCACTGGGCTGTAACATAAATATCACTCTTGCAACACACAAAACACCAACACCATTAACCATAAACAATGTAAAGTGACAAAATAAACATGAAAGTGCTGCAACCCAAACACTGACCTAACTATATACAAATGAAGGGAGTGCACATAAGAAGGGCAAGGACAAGACTAAGATAGGAAACAAGAGGAGCAGGGAGCAAGATATTGGATCCATGAACAAGGAACAGGGAGCTGGGTACAGGAACAAGGATTGGGCTCAGGCAAGGACACGACTTGCAGGAAGAACACTGAAGCACTGAACCTCAATTATGAGTGGGCTTAAATATATCCCAGAAGCCCATGTTAGGTGTAGCCTAATTACCTGGAAAGCCTGGCTGCCAGGAAACACCTGATGGAACTGCACTGTTCGACTCTGGGAACAACAGTGTCACCAGCATGTGACCCAGGTATTGACAAGTCCTAACATCCTTGAATCCTCCAGCCTCCTGGGACATGTAGTTTCTGCAGCATCCTTGAGCAGACTGTTGTCCACCCTGGAGACTGCATTTCCCAGTGTCTATTGTGCTTTTGCTGTCCACTGGTTATATGGCAGCCACTAAGGAGAGAAACAAGCCCACAACTAGCTTCTCCAACACATCAAAATAAAGAGAGAGAGAGAGTCTGCAAAGGCTACTTGGCTGCTGGTTACAATTGTAAATACCTTTTTTTCTTTTTTAATAAGTGATTGCATATCCTCTTTTATCAGCTGTGTAAGGGCTTAGAGTGCTGGGGGTGAAGAAACAGCAGTTCACTGATCTTTCTAGTGAATGACAGCACAAGTCTGATCTTTGGAGTACAGGCAAGCTGTTCCCCCAGCATAGACAGAAAACTGACTACTCTGAGATGGAAGTTCACTCATACCTAGCGAGGTCGGTTTGAAATAGAAAAGTAGGGCGACTGGCAGGAACGCCAATTGAGTAACATATTCTTTAATCTACAGTATGCTGCTTTAAGAAGCAGTCCCACAGTTACCCATGACAAGATAAGTAAATGGAATAGTCTGTATATAAGAAATATACCTAGTAGAGGGAGGCAGAGCTTAGATAGGAAAAGACTGAGTATCTGCAGATTCCAGGGACATTAATGTGCTCTATCTACAATCAGCCATTTTGTTTTGGAATAAGTAGTTAGTTAACTTAACAAACCTTTCGACAAAACAAGGACATAATAATTAAGTTTGCTTTCACCTCCCAATGACCCCATTGTCTTGTCTATATTTTTGCCCGGCCAGAAAAAGTTTCCATCTTGGCTGCCTGAGCTGTTCAGCGTAGCGTAGGTGATGGCATAAATTTGCAGAGCGCTGTAGCTAATTTGAGCTTGTGTATCTTTAGTTGATGTATAACTTGCTTTACCAATGATGTAAAGGATCTGGGACCACTGCCAGGCTTTGTACTGGTTTTCTATAGAAGGTTTGGCAATACGGTGTGTGATTGCTTTGGGGGGAAGTTTGCTCTGCAGTTGCATATTATGCACCTGTTCTGTGTATAAATACAAGGCTTTGACAGAAGATGGGATGTATGCTTGTTCAGGGAGGATTGCAATTGGCTGTACTGACCGACTGAACAACACTTAACTGAAGAATGTATCATTTGTAATCATTGTCCTTGAAATCACTTCCCTGATCCCAACGGAAGGTGAATAGATCTTCGTCATTTCCCTCGCTTCTCTCCCAGATAGGATTGCCGTGCACTTGTTGGTGTGAATGTGCCATTATTCACCGTACAAATTGCAGATGGGGGGTTAATAATGGATTAAATGGGAAGAGGTTGATGTCCTTGTGGTTTGCTGTGTGTTTCAGCAAAGACGAATACTTTACTATGTGAGAACTTTTACCTGCTTAGATATTTATTAACTGCTGCCTTGCAGGTTGCAGCAGGATTTGCACATAGCCAACATAGGGTGGCAGGCCTTTCAGGGGTGGTACATAGTCAATGATTCCTGGGTTATATTCCTGTGTATAATGAAAGCTTCCAGAATGCCAACCCACCAGCTAGTGTAGTTACATACAGTATCTGTGCACAGCTTGTGCATTTTTGCCACCAGCCAGAAATCAGACACCATCCTATTGGGGTACTGGGAAGGTAAATTATGTAGAAGCAACGTGCTTCACTGTTATCAAAGCAATCTGCTCTTCCTTGTAAACAACACATATATCCAAAGGCATGAATAAGTGAAACAAAACAGTGCACTGGATAAACACTCTTTACAAGATAAGGATGGAGTTTGATGAAAAAAAAAAAATATATATTATATATATATATATATATATATATATATATACAGTATGTAAAACTATTATCCCAAAAGGAATAAAAAAAATCCTTAAGTAATGTGTCATACATCCAAAATAAACAACACAAACATTTGAATGATAAGTTTTTTATATATAAAGTACCAGCTATAGTCTCCAACGTTTGGTTCTTGATTCCACTTCATTGGGAATGCGTTTCTAATTGTCAACCACTTGCTGTGTATCTTCCTTTCTCTCTTTGGGGTGAGAGAGTAAGAAACCTGCACTGGGTGTGCTTGAGAATTCCTTTCCTACATTACAATGGGGGGTTCTCAAAACACCAAATTACCAACAAAAGATGATCTGGAGGACTGTTGCACTCATTTACTAAAGTGTGAAGTGAACCTGTGTATGCTTCAAACATCCAATTGTATGCATGGGAATTTGAAAAGAAAAAACACATTTTTATGTACTATTGAATATTTTAACACAGTGCATGTCAGGGAGCTGGAAACCAGGAGGGCATCTACCTCTTGGGTGAGTACTAATAGTATATGTCAGGCTAGTGGCCCAGAGTGTAGATACCTAACCATTTAGACCTGGGGTGTCAAACTCAATTTCATTGTGAGACACATCAGCAATATGGTTGCCCTCAAAGGGTTGGTTGTATCTGTAAGACTAGATGTTCAGAGAACACCCCCCCCCCCCTTACAGATGTCAAGGGCCTCCCTACCATCAGAAGTCAAGAGTCCCCCACCTTTCCATACATCTCAGTGCATCCCCCTTACCTTGTGTTGCTGCCAGGAAGAAGCTGGGGGCAGAGCTGAGAAGCAGAAAGTGCAGGGTCTGATGGAGGACCAAAGAAGGGCTAGAGTTGGCTTCTGGAGTCTGATAAATGCTGAGACCAGGGGAAGCAAAGATGAGGGGGTGCTGCAGCTGCATAGAGAAGTGCAGGATCTATAGAAGGAGTTCTTCTCTGCTATCGACTGCTGAGACGGGAGAGGGGCAGAGACTAGCCTGTCTGTGGCTGCACGGAGAAGCGCAGGATCTGGCAGAGGAGTTTTGTCCTCCTCTCTGCTGCCGATTGCAGCACAAGGTGGTGGTGGAGATGAGGGGCATGCCACAGCTACAGCAGAGGTGTGAGGGCCACTTGAAATATCCTGGTGGGCCAGTTTCAGTCCTTATCTTTGACACATGTGATTTGGACATTAACCAGAGAGGAACTCTTAGTCAATGACACATGCTGGACATTAAATAGCATTACATGCTGTTTGTATAGATGGCACACTATCTTTAACCCACAGAAATCTGTCCCTAGCATGAAGAGTCAGGTAGTTGTGTTTGCCCCTTAAACCAAAGGTTGCAAGTTGCAAGTCCTCCCCTGGGCCCCCAGTCCTATTTCTTGAACTGCTTCCCCTATAAAATAAAGTTAGGGAAAAGAAACACATAATGGCCACAGTATATGGGCAGACCTGGGTGGAGACTTGACATCTGAATACCACGGACTCCAAAATTATATACAGATCTTGTATGTGATTTAGCATCTGCCAAAACTGAAATACTAGTCTTGAAAGCATTGACCCTGTAAAGAGCAACTCCAGGCAGGAATGTAAAAACACCCGTTAGTTCACTCACATATTCAAATTTTGTGATATAATACTCCAGATCAGCTATGAATTACTAAAAATTCCCAGAAAGCAACTAATGACTTCCATACTGAATTATCTCTATAGGATCATAGGAGCACTAATGCAACACAATGGCACTAATGGAACACATTTAATGTATATGAATGTGCACACATTAACATATTAAATGACATACATACAAATTCTAATAGGCCGTAAACTCATGTCATTATTTGAAAACCACAATATGTAATCATGTATGAAACATTCAAAATTAAAGCATATCTATAGTCAAAATAAAAATAATATATTCCTTTCCACATTGTATTTCAGTTATTTCTAGCCTACTCCTATTAATCCGACGGAATATGTAGTCCTTGGAAAATTGAAAGTAAACAGCAAAAGAGAAGCTGAAAAGCATGCAGGGAATCCAGAAAGTTGTTGTAAGAGATGGCCAACAGACAGGCAGAACTCACAACATAAA